AAGCTGTAAAATAGCATGTGACCTGGAAGATTCCTCATTTGCACCTGTAGATCCTGTACTTCTAGCCGCATTGCCTCTTTCAATATATTCCTTGACAATCTGTACATCTGAAACTTCAAATTCTTGCAACCCAACAATGCAGACTTGTTGTCTCCCATCTTCTCTCATGCAAAGTTTCCTATTAGAGAATTGGTGACTCAGGATTCTATATTATAGTCTATGCAAAAAGGTTCTTTTCTGTAAAGTAAACATATGTTGGACGTAACAAGAATGCTTCTGCAAGGTCATAAGACCAATAGATTTTCACGAGCATTGCCCATCAAAAAACCAATCAGATACGATTTAAGAGAAATAGAAAGAGCAAGAAAAGACATACTTTCTATCACTGAGAAGGTCAAAGAGTTTTCCACCATATATTTCAAAAAAGCTAAGCCACAGTTTAAATCTCTGATTACGATAAACTGGCTGATGCAACAATCTAACAAGGTCTTCTACAGCCCTGAGAGGTAATGGCTGCATTGTGAATGTCTTACCACTACCTGAAAAAAAAAAAGGGCATAATTATCAGTATTCAACCATAAACAGCAACGTAGGAGAAACACTCACCAGAAATGGTGAAAATACAAAAATGGAAACGACGAGGTGATTCTGCTGAAAGATAGGAACTACAGGAAAAACAAAAGTGAAAATAATTTCATTAATATTATATAATATCTCAATGTTGAAACAGATTCTCCTTCACTCATTAAGATTCTAGACTTCCTAACCATTTCTGTGTTTTGATGCATTTGACACTTCCAAATGCCTCTGAATGTGCATGCCTGCTGGTATAAAATTTTCTCATCAATCTTAATCAGGCACAGGAAATTTCTGATTTTGAATGCTAGTTAATGTGATTTAATTTCAGGAACCATTTTACCTAGCAGTCTCTATAAAACTTTAAAAACACACATAAAATTGTGCTCCCCCATGCATGTGCACTTAGACTCAAACAAACACTATAACCATGCAATAACAACAGAAGTTGACCCTTTTTCTTTTAGCTGATCAAACAAGACAGGAGTTGACTATTTACATCTCATTTTTTTCACAAATATTAGAATGTGATTTCTTAAACAAAAAGTAGAAAGAGAAATTTGTTATTAGAACACTTCAGATTCTGAGCATGATTTATCCCTGTTGTTCTTAAACTAAAAAAAAAAAATAAAGTGCAAAGATCAATGTAAATTGAATTTACCCTCGTAACCACCATCGAAAGGGATGAGCAACTAAAAGTAGAAATACAAGGATTAAAGAGATGTAAGTGTGTATGTATGTGAATGCATTCCAGAGAGAGCACAGCAGGACTTTTGACCCTGTTATGTCTAAATATAATTCTACTACACATTGAGGAATCATCAGCAATTCAACAATCTCAACAAATAATAATTTAAATAGAAATAAAAGGATGTGAAACTTAGAAGCATCAGTGCATGCTTGTTTTAAAGCTGTAATTCACTCCACAATTGTCTATGCTATTGGCAAGGAGAGGAAAAATTCAGTCTCCATCCACCTGTTTGACCATAAGCAAAGCAGGTGGCTTTTGTTCGCTGAAAAATGGTAGGAATAATTGGCTCCACAGTTACCCGATATACCTGTTTAAGCAAATGCAGTTGTATTTTATTATTAGTAAATGAATATACATTGGGATTTGGATAGAAACCCCTGTCAATTAAGGCAACAGTAAGACAACAGAAGTTAACTTAAAGCTCTGCAGAAGTGTTACCTCATCATTAGTAACGTTCTCATCCAGGACAGCATCAAAACAGAACTCGTGCTTCTCGACATATGCTGTCAAGTCCACCTTTCACATCAAAACCAAAGGCTTTCAACTCGATAAAAGAAAGGGAAAGATAAGAGCACTAAACTAAATAACAAGCCAGCATTGAGTACTTAAATAAAAAGAATCTAATTTGCATAGTTCCTGTGAAAGATAGAACACAAACCTTTAGCTTGGGTTCATGGACGCTTAATGAATTGTCAGAGACTGTCACAATATCATCCTCCTTCCGAGCAAGCTCCTTCTTGTTTAAGGGTCTTTTACGTACCTTAGAAAAGATATACGATAAACATTTAGCTTTCCTAGAATTTGAAGAAAGAAGATATTGAATTATGCACAAGGATATAACCATAAAGTGACTCCATGAGCAATGAAACACAAAATTTCCCAAATCAATTTAAGGAATGGAACAGATACTAAAGTCACAAAAAAGGAAATCTATTTATCATGTCTACCATTCAAAGTGTTGCTACACCAATTCTCATTCATTACTAACTTAATTAGATAAATCATCAGTGCTGACGGGCCAAAAGCATATGTGTTTAAAAATTTTCTCAGTGAAAAAAAAGAAAAAAGAAAAAAGAAGAAGCTGTTCAGTGCATATTTAAGTCATTAAGTTGTTTTGGCTTAATGCTTGTCATCAGAGGGGCTCAAGGTACTATTTTAGCTCTCTCTTGCACAAAGAAGATCTATTGCCCAGTTAATATTAAGGGGTTTTGCAAACACTCCCAAATTAGTCACATGACATGTGGGACATGAATTGCAATAAAGTCATCAATTTCAGTAATCCCATTGATAAAAGAGCAGCAATAGATATTTGATAACCATAAGTAATAATCACTTCTTTCTTGACAAAAGAAACAATATTTGAATTCATAATGGTTTAAATAACACCTAAAGAATCAACATTCCTGGGCAAGTACAGAAACACCGCCTATAAAACCAACATACCACAACTTTAATCTTTGCCACATTGTTTTCTCTTGTGCTGTTCTCCTTTTCATTTGTAGAGAAGGATGGAACAGAGGAATCTGTATCATTTAGCTCCTTTTTCTGCAGGCCAGTTGTCACACTAAATTCATTTTCAAAAGCTTTTGTAATATCAGGCATGAATGGCAATGATTCAAAGGACTCTGGGATGACATGCTGCAAACAGATCAGATCAAACAGTAGTTAAGAAAGGAAACTTTAATATCCAAGATTAACAATATGAAAGAAATCTAAAACTATCATCAAATAAAAGGGCAAAAAGTTTCTTTTTTTATTAGGGCCAAATTATATTCATTAGACAACATGGAGAGGAGAATAATACTACATTATCAAAAGAAATGTTCAACAAACCTAAATAAAAAACTAATATGTTTTAATTGTTGTAGACAATTCTGTACATTAGCCCATAGTCTAGAAGAAGCAAGGGCATCTCCATGGACTGGCATGTAAAATTTCCAAACAACATCCATCAACTTAATCTTATTTCTAGATAAAGCTTTTCCTTTCTTTGAATGAAGTCAAATGTCATCAAAAAAGGAATGCCACACAAAAACTTCAAGGGATCAGACAATACAGCATCGTCCACCCAAGTTAGGTGTGGCGTGTCCAACCATACCTCAGATAAAAGCTCTGTGTCGTCCATGGCATGAAGATCCAAAAGCCCAGCCCCGAAATCCCCCCTAAACTCTGGAGAATAAAAGCCATCAGATGCAGCTGCGCCTCCTGAATTCTGGGCAGTTGGCGTGAATGGCTCAGACCCAGAATCCCCATTAAAATTGAGGTTCCTCATTAGTTTGAATAATCTCTGCTTCTCTTCAGCAGATTGAGCTCCATAACCCTTATAATGCGCAAACCCATTTAATATGTAAAAAAACCGCATATAAAAGTATTCAGGTTCCAAACATTTCATCAAAAAAAGAAAATAGACATCTCAATGAAACAGTGGAAAAGAATGATCACTTAACCATGAGCTAATATTTCTTAAAAAGTACAACAACCTAATTGTTGAAACTAGAAATTAACTCCCAAGAGAGAGAAACTGCACGCATTCTCATCTAGCCGAAAATCAACAACCTAAAACCTTGTGTTAATTACAAGAAAATAGGAGAGACCATACCTGCATAAGCAGATTGGGAAGAAGGCGATGATCAATACCGGTAGAAGCCAAGGGAGAAGCCAGATGCTGCAAACCCGCAGACTGCAGCCACCGCGCCATTACAGCATCGCCAGCGTCACTTGAAGGACCCGCATTGTGCAGCGACCCACCACCGGCATGATCAAAGAGCGTGGTGGCCGCTGCACTGCTCTGCTGCATCTGGCCACCCATGTGGCGCTGAGATCGCCTTTGCGGAGCCAATTTTCAAGATCTAATTATCCACACTAAAAACACACCCACCCAAAAATTATCAAAACACAAAACCAAACTACAGAAAAAGAACAAACAGAAATACAACATCATAAACTACTCACAAGGAGGGGAAAATTCGAATCCAGAACAGAACATGAAAGTAAGTCCTCCAAAATGTGAGTTAAATCCTCCAATACCGAAAACTCATTCACTCAATAAAAGTTATATGAAAATCGGAAGAACATCTACGTTAGCAACAACAAGATGATCTCCGCTAAGAGAATCACCGGAACGGAGGTGGCGATCGAGATCTACGTCCGCAAATTCAGCAAAAACGAAAATCGCGAAATCGCGATTGGGATATTATGGAGAAAGGATTGAAGAAATCCCAAAAAGAGAAACCCTTCCCTTTGTATCGCCGGTTTTGATTCACCGTTCACGGCAGGAAATGCACAATGCGGAGGTTTGAGAAAGGGAGCTGGCTTCACGAGAGCAAAAAGTGATGAATGATGATATAATAATTATAAACAACCATAATATAATTTTTGTGAAAGAAAAAATAGAAAGATTTTTTTTATCATAAAAAATTTTTTTAGTTCCACTTTAGGAAAAAAAAAATTGTAAAATAATTTAAATATTTTTAATAAATTTTTATATAAATTAATTCATTAATAATAAAATAATGATAAAAACGATAAAAATTTAAAATAAAAAATTAAGATTGATAATTGACATATATTATATCATTTAAGGCATTTAATATTATATATCTTTAAAAAAATTAATTATTAAATAATATTAATATTACTTTTTAATATTTTAAATAACTTAATTTATGTTATTTTTCAACGTTAAATTTTTATCTTATTTATTATTATTATTATTATTAATATTTAAGCTTTTTTTTATATATTATGCACTTTGGACCAACGGGATAAGTTAATTTTTAATATGCATCCCTCGATCCAAGAGCTAAGACGGTGAATCCTCCCACGTTAATTTGTAATCCTGTTCAAAACAGCCCTTTTATATATTTTATAAACTGTGAAAATAATCTCTCTTTATTTTTTTTGTTCTCTTATGAATTTAAAAAACAGTTAACACACCAATCTAATTAAAAATACAAAAACATAGTTGTACTTAATAAATAAGAGCTCATAAGAATTCATTAATGATTTTTCGTCCTTTGTTTTTGCCCCAAATTGATTTATAAATGCAGCTTGCGCTGAAAAAAAAAAATCGTTCCAGAAGAGATTAAATTGTAACAAGTAATTATAATTTATGGGTGAGACCATATATTTTTGAAAACTACCATCACCCTTACTTGGCCTTGACATTCACTTTAAGTCTTGATTAAATAATTGTAAACTGTTAACTCAAAGTGGGTAAAATTAAGTTTTGGTTGTTGTGAAAATGACTCATAAGAGATCTGGTATAACGGGATATTATTTTTGGAAACATAAATGTTAGGAGGGTGCCAGTGGTTTCCAGATGATGTTTGGTTTGGAGGCAAAATCCATGTGACTCCCATGCTGATGGTTTGATAATCATGTTGGCTTAGACAGGGCCCCCTACATTTCTGCTATGTTTGGCTCTGAAACTCATGCTACCACCAGTATCTATCTAGCTCATTACAAGAAAATGGGTGATGTTATTATCCCCATTAATTTTGTTATAATTACTAATTTATTATCAATTTTATTTATAATTTTTTAAATAATTAATTATAATATTTAAAAACATTAATTTATAAATTAACTTTATTATAATATTTAGAATATATATTTTAAATTGATTTTAATCTAATAAATAATAAATATTACTGTAATTATTTTATTAGTTATCAATTATTTTTAATAATCATAATAAGATAAAATTAATGACAAATTGGTTGTCTAACAAAATTAGTAGTAGTGGCAATAATTATTCTGTTAAGTAATTACTTTTAGTTTTACAATCGTGATATTATCTTTTATATCTCATGTAAATTAATATATATCTATTTTTTTTATGTTGTAAAAATTGTATGCGTTCCTGTTTATCTTTCAAATTAGGATGATATTTTTGAGGGTGAATTGTGTAGGTCAGGGGTGGGCCATGTGAAGAAGAAGAAGAATTAAGAAATCTAGAAGAAGAAGAATTAAGAAGTCTAGTTTGATGAATCACAAAGTGGGGGCAAAGGGAAACTAAAGATCCCTTTTCAATATGGCCTAACGCTATCATGACTTGAAGCTCACTTCTTTTAATTAAAGTCTTTCCTTTAACTTAAAGCAATAACAGGGGGTGGGAGATCCAGCTAATTAGACGCTAAATTTTGAATTAAACTTGATAATTCTTCATCAAATTAGCTGTTGCAGTCCTCACTGTTCGTATGTCCTTTGCATTTTGGTAATTGTAATCATCTCCTCTTTTTTAGTGGGTTTTATGCCAACAAGTTGTTATGAGTTAAGAACTGGAAATTGGGATCCATCACTTGCTCTTAAATTATGACTATTATTTCATTAAGTAGAATAATCTGAATATGAAATGTGGTATCTTTAAATCTGTGAATTAAACTTTTACTTTTAAAAGATTTTTTAGCATAAGAAGTTAATAGTTGCAAATAATAATATTTGGATTAAAAATAATTATAATTCTTAATCAACAAATAATAATTATCTATATATTTAAATTATTATAATATATTTGATTTGAGGAGGATGAAAAAGAGTAACATTCTTTCATTTCCCTCCCTTCCACTTATTCATAAACGAAGAAACTAAAAAAATAAAAATTATTTGAATAAATGAATGAATTAAAAATAAATAAAATAAAGAACTCTACTTCTCTTTCCTTCCTCAAACCAAATATGCAATTTAGCCAAACATTCTAAAATTTAAATATCTAAATATTGATTGAAAAAATATTATTACATTGATGTTCTCAAAAAAAAAAATTTATATTTTGTAATTTAAATTATTTTAAATTATAAAACGAGAATAATGTGGAATATCCCGTTACGTACACTTTTTTTATTTTAAAAAAATAAAATAAAATAAAATTCTGGATCTGCCTCAAAACTGCCATTACAGTCCAGCATTGAATCACGTGAGTACAGTGACAGGAGTCAATGGGTAACGAGCATGTCTCAACCATTCATTTCACCAAACCGAGTCCATAGCCGCAAACACCGCCCCCGGATTGCGCGCTTTGTACACTGAACTGTCAGTGCTGCTTCAAACTTGAGAATCTTCAAGCAAGTGACTCCCATTTCGATTTTCCTCAGTTTTCGTGTGTTGTGATGAAAGAGAGAGTGCGTGTGAAAAACAGACAACGCCGGTAACAAGCAAGGTCAAGGGGAGAAAACCCAAAATTCTGGTGGCTCTTGCCGAGACTGGAATGAATTCTGGTTCGTTTATTTACTCCGTTTGGCGCTGGTACCAATGAGCACATGGCACAGTTTCACTTAAACAAGCAATGCAACATTGGGGTGTTCTGGTTGTCTGGTTTTGATGATTGAATCCTTGTCCATGAATTCCTTGTTAATAAGGACAATTTCATTCTTTGCTACCAAATTTACTGATCTTTGATTGTCAGTGATTCGTTGAAACCATGCATCAAATCCTGCTGGGATTGGGGTCAATTATGAATTGGCAGCATTGAAACACGTTTACAATGACCATGCATTATCAAATCTGAATCAATTCAGACTCAAATCAATTCATGTTATAAAGTCGGAAAAAAAGGACTTATCAGGAGTAGCATCGAACCAGATTCTTTTGTATGTTCAAAATGGTAGCATGTGACAGATTCTTCCCTTACAGTATGCAAGAATTCTCCCTCAAACTGATATTTAATCCAACTCATCAATAATATAAATAGATCAAACAGTTGAATTATTTGGTAAGTTAAACAAATCATTAAAACCACGTAAGAGTCGAAAACATATCATAACCACCAAACAATTAAAAGCCAAAAAGGCAAGAAATTAGGCCTTCAGTCACACAAGCACATTAAAGAAAACTAAGACAGTAATCAAACAGAACTATAAAGGATGCCAGTCCTTGACATGTGGTGCTGCCTTCTTAGCACTTGATCTCCTTCAATGCATGACCAAAGTACAAAAATGTTGGGTCTGTAGCACCATCCTTGTAGTAAGCAAACACAATACAAGCATCATCTTGCATGCTCTCACCAACGAAACTGTGACAAACCAAGCACATACTTAAGTTCTTTCTCCACAACTTAAACTTATAATGGTAGAAGCAAGAAACACAAAATGTAAAACTCACAGTTGAAGGTCGCTGAGCTTTGAAATCAAGAACTTTACTGCTGGCTCAACGTTCTTCTTGAAGTTCTCTTGGTCCTCACCCTCCAACTTATCTGTCAATCTCTTGACAAATTTCTTAACGTAGGCCATAAAACCCTTCTTGTCAAAAGGTGGTTGCTCCTGTAGGCAAGCAATAGGGAAGAGCTCATCACAACATTTTCCAAAACAGCAAGTTGGTTAAAACCAGACTTACAGACAGACAAACAAACCTGAAGCCTGAAGGTATCAACAATGTCAACAACCTTCACAGCCTGGTCATCAACACCCTCATCCTCCCCACCACCTTCAGCAGAGGGATTTGCACCAATATCTACATCAACTGCGCCTTTAACAACCCACTACATGAAGGCATAAAAATCATTTAAAGCTAAACAATTTCAATATACCTACTACATGAAACTTCAAAGAACAATAATATAACAAAAACTAACCTTTCCCTCAACTTCCCAGAGAACTCCACCAAAAAGTTCCTTGTATGGGAATGAGTCAGAAAGAAGCTCATCACCTGAAATTCATGAACAAAGCTGTTCACTAAAAGAGCATGGACTAAGAACTTAGTTTTCTTTCAATCTGTTCGCAAGATATTAACATCTATTCTAAAATTTCGGATTTTGACTTCAACAAGTTCTTTTTCACTAGGTTGCAAGCAACCACGAAATCAAAAGAAGAAGAAAAAAAGACAGTACTATTATCAAAGATTCCAACTTTCTTCAATCAACTTCAAATAAAGGCATAATAATCAAAACCCATCAAGGATTGACAACAGATCTAATTAAAACACAACACGAACCATAGAAAAATTATTCAAACACAGATATCCAAGGAGATGTTCAAATCGAAATTAGAAGATTAAGAGAAAGTTACCGGTAAGGAGATCCTGGTAAACCAACATGGCTGCGGAAAATCTCTCTCCCGAGGAAAATCAAATCTAAAAAGGTTAAAGCGAGCAGGTGAGAGAGACGCAGCAACGCGATGAGAGCGAGAGAGGGATCAAGAAAGAGCTGAGAGCTCGTCTATATCGTCGAGGGTTTTGGACTTTGCCCTCGAAGCGTGCGGTTTGTTACCAAAACTGCACCGTACTTTCTAGTTAATGCCCGGAGAGTCCTTTTCCTAACCAGATTGGAAATCTCCTGTGTTTGGAAGTAGGGGGGGTTTTGTGATTGGATTGGAGAAGGTTTTTTTTTAAGAGAATAATATGAGTTATGAGGGAGCATTAAGTAGGCATAAAATTACACTAGGGTCAGGGGAATTTACATCCCAACACATCAACATTAATTAAGATGCATCAAGAGTCAATCAAAATGTTGTGACCCATAGCTATAAGTCGATATGCACACATACTAATTTCTCTAAGGACGGGTTGAAGACATGTGAATTGTGGTTTGGGAAAGTCGCCCTCGTTATTCCCTTCCTAGTCCTTATAGTTTGTTTTTTTAAGACTTTTATCTATGAATTAATTTGGATTGCAAAACAGGTGGATTATAGTCTATAGAGCTATCTTTGATTTAAAAAGCTCACCCTATTTACAAAACCCTTTTTGTTATATCAATTTGTTTCACTAAATGAAAGTTTTATGGGTTATGTAAATTGTCTTATTTATCAGTTTCATATAAAATTTTATCTTTAAAAATGTCAAGTGTGATTCATTAAAATTATTTGTATTCAAGCAGTGTTGGAGAGTTTTGAACTTACATATTTTTAGCATGACTCAAATGTTTTTTATACATTTGAATCAAACTTAATTCGATAACCTTATTTACAGTACTTTTCGCATGACTTTTTATAATTTATGTGTTTGATAAATAATTCATTTTTATTTTTTCAGAAAAGTATACAAAAGTTATTTTATACAAAATTAATAAAACTCATAAATAATTTAATAAAGTTTCCAAATTATTTTTCATACATTTTATGTTAAATTATTAATAAATTTAATTTTAAATAATAATATATCTAATTGAATAATTTTACGATAGATAATTGTTTTAAAATATAATCACCAAATACTAAAATACTTTTTGTAATAATATAACACAATACTTCTAACTATTAGAGTTACAGAATAGTACCAGATACCATTGTCAAACTAATCCTCAATCTTAGTAAGTTTGATTTTTCTTCTTTTCCTTCTCTTACTCTTTCTTCCCTTTCTCATCTCATCTAGTTTCTCAGTTTTCCTTTTCCTCCAATTTTCTTTCAATTTTCTAGTACCCAATAAACCCGTTTTACTTGTAAATTCCTAGTCGGTGTAGTGATTTCCAGGTTTCTTTTTATTTTTCTTGGCTTCCCGTTTTCCTTTTGTGAATGGTAGTAACTTCTTTTAAAAATAGCGGTGTGATATATTTATTACCTTTGTTTAATATTGATATGATGTTGATCTAACCTAAGAATTTCTTTAATTGTGTAGATATTGTCCTCCGACAAGATATTATGAACAAATTTAGTTTAGTTTAAAAAAATTATAATGTATCAAGAAAAACACTTGATTTAATATTTAAACTTTAAAATTAAAATAAATAAATAAATAATGGTCACAACTCAAATGCCTAAAAAATACTCAACTTTTAACATCCTTGAGGAGCAATCTGAAAGAAGAACCAAAAAGGCCCAATTAAAAATAATTTTGAGCCTTATTTCAATTTCACAAGTATACTTTCTCCAAAAAGGCTCAAAAGTTCTCAATTTTTGGAAAAACTGCAAAAAATTGTCTTGCACACGCCTCAGCTTACCTTCATCACCTCAAACTCTTCGAAGTTCAAATCTTTTATTTGACACCTCTGTCTTCTTCATCGATAGCTCCAAGCATTGATATATATTCATATTCCAGCAAGCAACGATGTTGATCAAATTTTGTTAACGCATTTTAACATTATCCCAACCACAAAAAATATTAACCAAAAATCATATGTACCATGATAAACTATTTTTTTTTTTATTTTGATTGTTTAATGAGAGACAATTATCTCTCATCCCTTATCTCATCCCTTATCTCATCTATTATCCCACCATACCCATATGCCATATGATTCAAATTTAATATTTTTTATTTTCAATAAAAGGAGATGACCATTGAACTCCTTAGGTTGTTTGCATACCATGATAAATTATAAAATCATATATTCTTTAATATTTTATAAGAAACTAAAATTATAACGGTTCAAACATTTTATATTCTTTACATTTATAAATCATATTTTATATGTTAACTAAAATTTTTAATCATGCTGCGTACAGTTTAGTATGGTACATTGTAAT